TTTTATATAGCCTTTCACGAAGCTAAGCTAAGCTTTCACCAGCGACCACCCACACATTAGACAATTGTTTTTTTTAAAGGAGACGAACAAACGCCCAAGTAGAAATATGGATTGATAAATGAATATTGAAATAGCTATATGGATGGATAGATAGATGTATTGAAAGACGTATATATAGATAGATTTATGCATGGATGGATAGATGGGCGGATAAATGGACAGATGTATTCACAGATGGATAGATTGATGGAGAGATGGGAGACAGACCCGGAATACGCCGGGTAACCCCTCGAGAGTGAATCGATAAACTAAAGGTATTTAGTGCTCTAAATACCTTAAAGGTGGTTCTTTATGATACCGGAGAGTTGGTCACAAACAAATGGCAGTGAAGCAGCCTAAATCCTGCAAAAGTTCCTATTGCACGAACTACGTAAAAACATCTGTTTCAGAGTCAAAATTCTGTTGTACATGCCATGTGTTCGAAGTGAGTTTGATGTTAAATTATTCTTACGTGGTCTGTTTGTTCAGTCATAGTGACACATGTTGGCGACGGTATCTTACTATAATTTACTGATCACACTTGGTGCAACCTTATTAATTTTTTTCTGGGAAGTATTATTTTCTGATTGTATATGCCTCTAGACTAAAGAAAATGGATATTATTTCCATCAAACTTTTCTTTGACAGCTTGGGGAAAACGTCTGGAAAGTACCCCGAAGGCTGCTGACGTAGGAAACAACATGTCAAAGCTCTTGATACTGAGTCGGCAGCTTCCCTAAGCTGTCTGAGGCAAAGCTCAAAGCAAGGCTTGGGGTGAATAATAGCCATTTTCTAAACTTTGGAAACATAAGCAAGGAACACAAATTGAGTTAAATTAGTGTTATAATGTTTCTACTATATGCTTAGGTTTCTTACCATATAATATGGTGTAACATGATATAAATATATGCACGTTAAAGAATTCAGTTTTATTGATCAATATTCCTCTTACGGTATTAATTTACGCTGTATGATAACTGTAATCCTTAGTCTAAATAAATGACTGAAATCTTGTTTTGAAAAATAATTAGAAATGTAAAACAGCTGTGTATGTTCTGTGTATTTATGATAATCAATAAATAAACCATAGAAAGGCCGCTCGCTCCCAGCCCTGTTTCTTCTCAACCCGTCCTCGACTCAAGGCCATTACATCCACTGGTCGACCCCACAGACGCATTCATAATTGTTAACATGCTGTTCATTCAAAACGGGAATTTTCTCAAATATAAATTAGTATTATAAAATATTAGAATATTGTGCATATATAGGCATAGGTTAGGTTAGGTGTTTAGATCCTGTTGGTGATTATTTGTATTTGTAGTACGTGGGTGAAGCATTTACAGCGTTGTGGTTCGAACAAAATTCGTCAGTTAAGGACTTTTTCCGGGAGTGTTCGAACGTAATCAGTCGTGAGTCGTGTGTAAACCGTTTTTCATTCATAAACTGGGAGTTTGGCGGGTGGATGGAATCACTTTTTTTTTGGGGGGGGGGGGGGCTTTGTTTGGAGGACAGGCTGCTTCTTTTCCCGTCCCTCTCCTCACCACAATAACTGCTGGTGCAGCCCGTTTTCGCATACAAAGATCCAAGCTCGTTAATCCAGCCGCCCAACCCCCTTGTTTATGAATGAAAAGCGACTTACACACGCCTTACAACTGATGACGTCCGAACACTTCCGGAACAAGTGCTTGGCTCACATCCTCTGTTCGAACCACAATTCTATAAATCCTTCACCCATGTACTTCAAATAGAAATAATCGTTAACATAACCTAACCAAACCAACGCTAAACTATTTTTATCTATAATAATACAAATTCATATATAAGAAGAAACCAATTTTTAGCACACAGAATGTTAAAATTAATGAACGCGTCTGGGGAGGACGACCGCTGCTTTAAACAGCCTGGTGTGAGGACAGGTTGGCTGGTGATTGTTTATAGACAATAGATGGCGTTATTAAAGTAGTACTTGGCATCTGTTAGGAGCCATGAATTTTGGGTATGGGAGAGGCAACGAGGTGGACTGCTGCTGTTCAGTCGTCAGTCTGTCTGCTGCGATTAGTAACTCGACTTCATCATTCTAATTTAAAGGTTAATATTTTGTTTTTTTTATTTGTGTTATTTTGTATGTTTTGGAGAAAAGTGGTATTAATCCACTGTAATAAGGGTATTATAGTAATATTAATGTAAGTTTGAAGAGATCTAGTTTTGGGCACTGTGGATATTCATTTTTTAAGTCTTAAGTTTAATTAACTGTAGAATCTTTTTTAACTAAAAGTTTTAGCGAACTATTTTTAACCCTCCCCCCCCCCCCCCCTTTTACTAAATTTCTAAATGCGCTGTAGTAGAAAAGGATGGGAAGTTCTAATGGTTCCCTTTACAGGCCTACTGTACTTTTATTTTAAAATAAATGCTAGAAACTTTAGTCTTTACAATGTTTGTTTTCCGTCAATGCTGTAAACTTTTCTTAAAGCTTATTGCTATAGCTCGCTATTTTTTTTTCGCCTACAGATGGCTCTACTTCACCTACTTTACCTCGTGTGCTTGGTCTCTAGGGTAAGAACGCTTTAATTTAAATAAATACATACACTCTAAAATTGTTTCAATTTCCTAATATAAAATTTATCGAATAGATCCAGGGTCAGGGGTTCGTCCCTTACGGCACCCACGCTCCCCTCCCAGTCGTCACTCCAACAACTTCTACAGTCACCAGTCAGGTTCGTAAATCGTGTTTTAATCACTGCTTTACCTCCCTCGGTGTGACCTGTTAAACTTTTTTTTTTTTTTTCTCCCTGCAGACAACCCTGACCCACACTCTGCGGGAGACGACGACCTCTGACGTGTGGGTTACAGAGCAGACGGCGATCACCCTGACAGTCACCCAGACAACCACCCAATGGGACTTTGTTCCCCAGTATCCACAGACGGTGACCTCTGTGATAAGGGTCACCTCCACACCGGTAGTGGTTGAGACGGCTACGGTGGGGGTCAACCCAGTGAGCACAATGGTGTCCATCTACAGTCAGTTCGTCACCACCACAGATACTGTTAAATACTGGCAGACCATAACCCACGTCGCTGTCACTCACGAGGTAACTTAATCCTTGGAATAAATAGATTACCGTTAATTGTCAATGGCTAAGTTTTTGTCTAAACTATTTTTTTCTAAACTGCAGATCCAGACGGTGCCTGTAGTAACTACACAAGAACTGCTGCAGGAGATAGTAACTACGGTCACCCATATAGTAACTACTACAGTTACCTCCACCACTGCCAGATATTATGCATAATGAACTACATAGAAGTTAATTTGTACTGTATTAATAAAGAATAGGACGCATTTACTGCACAATTTAGTATTTTCCTTTGTGTAAATTTGTTTGGCCTGCATTGCTTCAGACTTGAGCGTGCACGTAACCTTCAGAAACATTGTTTACCAAGATTTAAGTAAAATTGAGTAACACTCTGCACGGTCCTGTCAAAAGCTACTTGAGATAGCTGGAATTTGCTAGACAAGAAATTGGTATTTCTGTAGCCTTAATATACAAAGCTAGTACCGTTGGTTATCGCAGATAAGTTTACAGGTTAAACATGGTATCGCCACCAAATCTGATATTTAAAGGCAAAGATTTCTCTGCCTGCTGATTTTTAAAGTGTCAAACGTCAATGTGGTGGCAACGCTTTTTTCTTTTTTTTTTTTTTTTTTTTTTTTTTTTTTTTTTTTAACGGGCAATAAGAACTAATTTACCAAAAATACGGGCTAATACCATCCTGAAATCTAAACATTCTACTTGCTGCCTTCAATACATTAATTTAAAAATGCTGAAAGGTGCCTATCTGCCGGCCCCACCCTACCTCAGTTTGTTTTTGCAGTAATTTTATTGGGATGCAAAGGTGTTAACTTTACTTGGGATTTTTTTTTTAAATCTTTAGCAAAGTTTTCATTGCTTGGTGACTTGTAACAAATCACACGCCTGAAATCTTCTTGGTAGAACTTTACTCCGGTTGAGATCTGAGAAAAGGGCAACCATGAAAACAGGTTTTGGTAAATGCAGTGAATCAGTTGAGCAATAACCATAAATAGCCCCACCTGTAATTTAAAACATTAACATGGTAAAATTTAATGTTGCATGCTCTCTAATATACCAAGGTAGATTCTACGTGAACAGTGCGATGGTTATTAATTTTCCCTACAGATGTAGAACAGCACCTTGCCCTCGTTACACTCGCCGCATCAGAGCGCTCTAAATTATTGTGCGTCGGACATGTCCAGGTTCCAGAATCTAGATATATCTTCGGGAAACTCAACTTGTGAATTTCGGCAAATGCTAAACATTCAACTTTCAAAGACGTTTCCTGCTTTAACCGTTCGTAGACTTTGAGCTTATTCATTGCAGTAAGTACCAATGTGCTTGCTAAACACCATAAAACCTAATTTTATTCAGACTAATATCTAATGTGTTTAGCTTGATATACAATAGATTATCTAATGCATAATGTACAGCTTCGTGGTTAGTTTGAATTTTCTATTTGCTGGGTTCATTATTTCTAAATTACTCCGCACTGCGGTACTGTTTTCCTGAATAAAACTTAGGAACCCTATTACATAAGGAATACACAAATCGAACTTAAGACGTTAAACTTCCTGTACAAATTTTTATTCTTACTTAATTTTAAGCACCTGGAGAGTGTTGACCAAACCACACACTAAAGTCAAGGGACGACAACGTTTCGGTGGTCGTATCTCCTTTGTCATATACCGGGAGCATATAGGTCCACAAAACTTGTACGATAGACATTTTAGATGTGTTAACCGTGATTAGGGCTCCAGTGACTGGAGGTATTTGCCTTTAAGAACAGCGACAACTGCAGAAGGTATTTTGGTATACAAAAAAAATCTTCAATTCAAATTACAAAGATTTAAAAACTTTATTTAATCTCCGTGGGAAAGGAAGGAAAGAAACTGGGAACATTTTTTTTTTTTTTTTTGGCATTATCATTCTTTTCTGAAATGATATTAAAGAATTGGTAATTAGCCCAGGGGGAATATATCAAAATAAATCAGTTATCACAAATACAAATAATTCATCAACAAATATAATTTGAATCTCTTGTAGATTGCTAGAAATATTCCGTGCACGACTACAGTGTACCGTAGCCGAGGCACCTTGTGAGCACGGTGTGTGTGACGGCCAGGAGGTCCGTCACCGTAGTCCCTTTCATGTTTACGTTCGTACGCACCAACGTCCTTGTGTACGACACTCTGTAACTAATTCACTTTTCACTCGAGGTAGACTATCAACGTATCATCAACACATTCATTATAAAACCTAAAAAAACTGAATATACAGTACACTCACCTGCATGGTGGTCGTCGTGTCAGTAGGCAGCATGATTACGTACGATGTGTAGGTTGTAGTTAGGTGATGTAGAGCAGTGTCCGTCACGAGGCTGAAGCTAGACTTCACGTGAGTGACGGCCAGTGATGTGGGTCTGGCAGTCAATGATGTTTGCAGAGTAACGTGATCATTAACTGCCGTCTCTACCACCTGTTGAGAACAAAGAAAATGTAGTTTACTCAAACTCAGAAACTCGTTAAGAATATCGTTGACCAGATTACACACTAAGAAGGTGAAGGGACGACGACGTTTCGGTCCGTTCTGGACCATTCTCAAGTCGATTGTGAAGATATTGGTTAAGAATATCTTTAAGCATACGTACCCGGCGTGTTCCAGTGGTGACAGTCTGAACGGTGAGGGAAGTGAGGGTGACAGCCACGCTCTGGAAAGCTTGGTCAGTGAGGGTGACGAAGCGGTCGACGGTGACAAGCTGGGTGACAGTGGGGTGGAAGACTGCGTCCACCCTGCTGACCTGAGGGCTGCCATACCTTGGACCAGCGTCAGAAGGCGGACTGCTACTGCTGCCCGCGGTGACGCGCGGTCCGCTATCAACATCCTTCCCACCAGAAACGTTAATAACTAGACCACTGGAACCAGTCTCTGGTCTGCGGCCAAGCCGGCCGCTGCTATCGCCGATCACGTTCATAGAAGCACCGCTGCCATTAGTTTTGCCGGACCTTACAACTGGACGAGGGCTGGAACGCGAAGTCGGACCGCCACCCCCGCCGCTGGAAGTGACGAAAGCATTCGAGCCGGTACGCAAGTAAGTCCCCTCCGTATGGTGGTCCGGTTGGCTGCTTGAAGCGAAACTATCAGTTGCTAGAGTGTCATTGGTGTCGTCCGAGCTCCTGCTTGGGCCACTGGAGATGCTACCGAGGTTCTGAAAAAGCAATGTGGTTAGTAAATTGTTATACGAACCCTAGTCGGTGCGTTTCAGAAGCTAATTACCAAAGTCTTACCGGTCTATTCCCGAGAAAATCTGGTAATCCTGCCGCAGTTTGGGACGCCAAGCTGCTAACCAGCATTACAAGTATAATGCAATTCATCTGTAATGAGCGAATTAAGCAATAAACTCTAAAACGATAAGAAGGGTGTCGAATAACAATGTTTAATTGCGATAATTAATAACATTTGATTTATTTTAAACAAATAATTTATTATTAGTTTAATTCCCATTATTTAATTCTTTACGGGGGAGTTTTGCGTCGTAGAATAAAAAAGGAATAAGAAAACCTACAGGAAAATTTTGCAGAGTTGGTCGAAATAAAAGTTGAAAAGGAGTAGAGGAGCACCAAGCGGCTGAAGTATTCATTCTCGCTTCGATAGTGTAGTTATGCTACGGCTTGCCGCAGACCTCGTTAGAACTGTGCCATGTTCGGTACCCCCTCTCCCCCTCCCCAGCCTTAACGCAGGTCAAACCCAAACTAGTAAATGTGGATATTTTATATACGTATATATGTCCGAATATGGGAACTCATACTGGGAATTCGCAATAAATCCTACTTTACACACCCAAATGCATAATTAAAGATCAATATAACAAAGGCCCAAACTTAACCATTTTTGAAAATAGAACAGCAGTGATTATCTGGGGGGAGACCTCAGACTCCTTCTCTATACCTTCCCTCCATCACTCCCTCCCACCATCCCATAATGACCCACCGCCTATCCACCACCCCCCCCCCCCTCCCTCCAAAAAAAAAACCGGCAAATTACAAAAGTACACACCGACTCTGTCTTCATCCGCTAATATTTTGTTCCTCTGTAAACCGTATGTTCATTCGTCGTAACAAAAAATCGAACAATCGTGTGTCAAGCATATCATTTGCCCATTCATACATTGCAAGGAAACGAACACAGGTTGCAGCAGCGACACCTGCTCATTAACAAGTCAAAGGCTGGTTACAAGCGGTAGTTACAGTCCACTTCATCGTTCCTTGTCCCGGCGATTTGGACCTAATCAGCAAGATTGTTGCAACTGGAGCGTAAATGCAATGATTTATCCTGCTTTAAATGATTCCAATGTTCACTGGAAGTTTTTTTTCCACGTAATTGATTAACATATTTTTTTATATATTTTCTTTTAAGATAGTTACTTTTTTTATTATTATTAGTCGGTCTTATATTATCTATATCGAATTTCTTTCACTTTCTTTGTATAAGAGTTCGTTTATCTCCGAATGTGAAACGAAGTTTTTAAACAGAAAGACATACAAGCGGAGGAAATGACAAGGAGGAGGAGCAGGAGGAGGAGAAAAAGGGATGAAAATGAGAAGGGGGGGGGGGGGAAAGAGAAGGAGAAAAAAGGTCAAACAAATTTTCTACTTTTCACCAGAATCAGCTGATAGGATATTTTTTTGTGAGAACTGGCCAACCGCAGTCAGAATTAGGCTTCTCGTTTGCTGCCTTCGAAGTTGCAACCCGTCCTTAGACAACCCGTCCTAAGACAACCCGTCCTAAGACAACCCGTCCTAAGACAACCCGTCCTTAGACAACCCGTCCTTAGACAACCCGTCCTTAGACAACCCGTCCTAAGACAACCTGTCCTCACACCAGGCTGTTTAAAGCAGCGGTCGTCCTCCCCAGACGCATTCATCAATTTTAACATACTGTGTATTAAAAAACGGTTTGTTCTCATATATAAATTTATATTATTATACATAAAAATATATTATTATACATAGAATATACATATTCTATGTATAGTTAGGCATAGGTTAGGTTAGGTGTTTAGGTTCCGTTGTCGATTATTTGCATTTGAAGTATGTGCGTGAAGCCTTTATAGCAACCCGTCCTCGACTCAAATTCATTACATCCAGTGGTCGACCCCACAGACATATTCATAAATTTTATCATTCTGTTCATGCAGAGCAGGAATTTTCTCATATATAAATTAATATCAAAATATATTAGCATATTGTGCATATATAAGCATAGGTTAGGTTAGGTGATTAGGTTCTGTTGGCGATTATTTGTATTTGTAGTACGTGGGTGAAGCATTTATAGCGTTGTGGTTCGAACAAAATTCGTCAGTGAAGCACTTGTTCCGGAACTGTTCGAACGTCATTAGTTGTGAGTCGTGTGTAAACTGTTTTTCATTCATAAACAGGGGGTTTGGCGTGTGCATGGAATGGACTTTGATCTTTGTTTATGAGGACAGGCTGTCGGAATTGTGGTACTCGTTGCAAGGCTGCGAGTTCGTCTTACGTTCGTCTTATGTTCGATCGTGAACTTACGACTCGTTCACGAGTCGTAAACCAGCATGAAGAAACCTTTATAATTATTCTCTGCCTACAGTAAACAGGTTGAACAGACTTAAGCAAACAATATATATTTATATATATTCATTATAATACTTTCACATAAAACACATATACCCATATATATATATATATATATATATATATATATATATATATATATATATATATATATATATACACGTGTGCACACTCACAGAAGCAATAACGTCTTAATTTACCTTAAATTTAAAAAGGCTGCTTTAATTGCATCAATTTATATTGTCGATTCATATGAATATAGCTGACTTTCCTTGGATGTATCACACTGCATTAATAGATTAGAATAGTTATGTATATTTTATCTTCGTCAGAGAGAGACGTTGAGCGAGAATCCTTCTCGTGCTTAAGTAAATCATTGCAAGTAAAGGCTGTTGTCTTGCCTCATTTAACCAAGAGAAAATGTATCAACCTCTCTCCCTCTCCTTTCTTGCCCTTTATGTCTCCCTTTTCATTCTTCCTGTTAATCTCTCTCTCTGTCTCTCTCTCTCTCTCTCTCTCTCTCTCTCTCTCTCTCTCTCTCTCTCTCTCTCTCTCTCTCTCTCTCTCTCTCTCTCTAATCCCTCCTTCAGAGAGAAACCTTAAATATTTAAATGTCGTCTGGAGGGATTAGAGACCCAGGCAAATGCCAAGGGAAAATATTTGCGTATCATATTGCCGGAGCTTTCTGCTTTATGCCCCGGCCGCCAGACCCATTGTGAGGCAGGGCGGGGGAACACACGCCAGCCTTAAACTGTGGTTGTGGTCTGTCTTGAAGAACTACGGCTGTAGTCAGCCTTGAGAAACTGTTGTTGTTGTTGGTCAGTCTTGAAGACCTGCAGTATACCTCGGTGAACACGGGAGGTGTGAATGTATACACATCTAACTGGGATTCCAGTGGTTGAGTTTGAGCTCTTGGGCCCCTGACTATAAACCTTCAGACGACTATCAACTTTCAAGCCTTTCATGACGTTTATTAATTGTTTTTATTTTCAAGTATGTTTCCTGATTGTTCATTGACAATCGCCGTGGTTTTTGAATTCCATATAGTTTGTTTTTCCTTAATTATTCCCACGAGGTTTGTATATATCTGAATCCTGTTTCAAGCTAGTTTCCAAATTCTAGTTTGCAAACAGTGTAGTTAATGTGTTGAACAAATTACCCGGTAACATAATAGATGTAGGGTCACTTGATAGTTTCAAGCGTAGGTTAGACGTGTATATATGAATGAGATTGGGTGGATATAAACAGGACCAGCCACGTATGGACCAATAGGCAATCTGAAATTTTCTTAATTCCTATGTTCGTGTTATCTTATATTCTTTACACGATGCATTTTTTTTTTTGGGGGGGGGAGGGGGGACGATTAAACTGTCAAAAAATAGGTGTTAAGTGCAAATTAAAGCACTCTAATATTGACGTTTTCTAAGCATCGTTCCTACGTTAGCAAAAAATTGCATTTTTTACGTAATGTGAAAACCGTGAAAATGGGCTCTCTCTATATAGAACTTTGATTTCTCCGTTAAACCTCAAGCCTCTTAAAAACTATCACTTTTTTATTTTCCAATATACGCCTCTATGTCTTTATTCTGTAACAGACGCTTTCGAAACTTAGCCAGAGAACTCTCTATTTTTTTCTTTTTTGCCCTTTTCTCTCCATGGCCGAGTAAAGAAAAGTTGAAACTTGTCGAACTTGGAAGTTTCATTATTCAGTCCACACACGACCTAATGTAGCGTTACTCAAACTTTTCCCTGGTAACGAAGACAAAGTTGCATACGTGTCGGCACCTCTGTAAAGTTGGTGAAATAAAGAGACAGACGACTTTATTTTGTTTTAGGGGTGGGAGTAGAAGGAGAAGGATGGGGGTCGAGGGAGAAGGGGGGGGGTGGGGAGAGGAGAGGGAGAGGAGTGGGAGAGGGAGGAGAAATGGAAAGGGGGGGGGGAGGGAAGGAGGATTGTGGACCTGAGGTGGGGGGGGGGGTTATTTTAAGACATGCGTACGCTCATACAACACTCACACACACACACACACACACACACACACACACACACACACACACTCACACACACGAGGGGGGTGGTGGGTGATTGGACAGCGCTCTAAGCTCGTGGACCTAGGGACCGGGGTTCGATCCCAGGCACCGCCGGAAAAACTAATGGACAGAGTTTCCTTGACCCTGATGCACCTGTTACCTAGCAGTAAACAGGTACCTGGGACTTAGACAGCTGCTACGGGCTGCTTCCTCTGTGTGTGTGTGTGTGTGTGTGTGTGTGTGTGTGTGTGTGTGTGTGTGTGTGTGTGTGTGTGTGTGTGTGTGTGTGTGAGAAAAATAAAACATTAGTTAGTAGTAAGTAACAGTTGATTGATAGTTGAGAGGCGGGCCAAAAGAGCAAGTCTCAACCCCCGCAAGCACAACTAGGTGAATACACACACACACACACACACACACACACACACACACACACACACACACACACACACACACACACACACACACACACACACATCTGAGTCACGACCAAAGACTGAGGAACTGCGACTCGTCACACTGAATTTAACGAGAGAAAACATGACAAAAAAATTCTTCTTCTTGACATAGAAGATTGCAAAATAAATTGAAAGACAAGACAAAGAAGCAATGTTTATTGCAAGGAACGGCAAGCAGGATGCAAATGTGTCACAGAGCCCCCCCCCCCCCTCCCCTCCGAAAAAAAAGTATTTTTTTGAGTGTAAAAGTTATAAATAATTGGAATGGATTAAAGAAGAGTTTGTGGGGCAGCACAATGCATAATTTGAAGAGTAAATAAAATAAGGACGCTGAAGGAACCGAGTCATTGCATTAAACTAAATGATGATCTGAATTATAAGCTTAAAGCTGATGCTTGGTCCTGCAAGCACAGCTTACTCATCTAGGTGAGACGTACTCACCTAGATGAGTACGTCTAGGTGAGTACACGCACTCTCATGAGTGCGTGTACTCATCTCAGCCATCTCATCACCAGGTCTTCACGACAGTCCTTGCACTCTTGTATATAATCTTCAAATATCCACTTGCAACATATATTTGAATATTGCAAATAAGATACCAATAATTCCTAATGAGCCACAAAGGGTAAATTTGTGTCAAGATGTTGAATTGATTTTTATGGCCGTGTAATTCAAAATTAGCCGCTTTGTAATATTTTTCTTGCAAGATAAGTTTGTGAACTTTGGATCGGAACCTTCAAAACTTTTTTTGACATTTTTTTAGAGAATAACACAAAGGTTCCAAAATTGTGAAAAGAAAAATGTAACATTGATCTGAGTGGAATAAAAATAATCTACCATATGGCAAAACTTGTTGAATACTTACAGTAACACAATTATTCTTTATGGAAACTTCAATTTACCGAAGATTTGCTTCAAACAAAATAGAAATAATTTTTCATAATTAAAATATTATTATTCTTACAAAATATTTAAAAAATATTTCAAAAAAATATTATCGTGTACATATTTATATATATTTAATATCAGAACAATTATTATTTGTAGAAATATTAGTATTAGTATTATTAATACAAATATTACTAATACACACACGAGAGATGGAGACCTAGCCAGTAGTGTTCCTGTCTGGCTTGTGTCGCCTCCAACTCCTTGTGCCTTGTTAAGTAAACTTATCTTCTGGGCGTGAGTTTGAAATGTAAGTTGGCATAATTCTTGCTACAACTTCGATTGGCAACTTATTCCAGGGAGGGGAAACGTGTGTGTGTGTGTGTGTGTGTGTGTGTGTGTGTGTGTGTGTTTCACGTATCAGCAGGACCGAACTGAAAGTTCTTGGGTTCCGCATCGCTAGCGGTCGCTTGTCTAGTGTACTAACTTCCGACCTATTTTGTTCTGTCATGTCACTCATACATACTCTCTCCCTCTCCCTCTCCCTCTCTCTCTCTCTCTCTCTCTCTCTCTCTCTCTCTCTCTCTCTCTCTCTCTCTCTCTCTCTCTCTCTCTCTCTCTCTCTCTCTCCCTCTCTCGTGAGAGTAGTGGGAAAATGGAATGCACTTAAGGAGCAGGTTGTGGAAGCAAATTCTATTCATAATTTTAAAACTAGGTATGTTAGGGAAATAGGACCGGAGTCATTGCTGTAAACAGCCGATGGCTCGAAAGGCGGGATCCAAGAGTCAGTGCTCGATCTGCAGACATAAATAGGTGAGTACACACACATACGCAGAGTTGGGTGATTGATAGTTGAGAGGCG